GAAAGGTGGGTAATTCTAGTGTTCAGGACCCATAGGGATTCCTGTCGTAAACGAGGGTCATTTTTATGTGTCGTTTGTGAAGAAGTGTTTACGCAACGAATACAGGTAAAAATGTCAATATAGGCTTACTTTCTTAGCTCGGGCTAAGTTCTAAGAAAAGATGTTAACAGCGCAAAAGCTACCTTGAAGAAGTATGTACGGTCTCAATTTTTTTTAACGAAATACCAAAATTAACATGCAGTCTTTCGCTAAACTTTTTACTGTGAATTCATGCTACTATATCTAATCATGACGTTTATTGCTGCAAGTTATCTGCTTTAGCTGGACAGGCATTGGAACAAGAAGCACTTCATTAAATCCCAATGCGCCGAATGTGGATGGTTGGCAGCAGCCCCGCTTCGCTTGGTTGAACATGCTTATATTGAGCATTCTAAAAAAATGTGTGTTGATCTCATGAATAATACATATGAATATCACATTACCAATCGTTTTTATGCAATTGCTATGTATAGATGTGGTTACTGCGGTGCTCAAGATCCTCCAATAGATCATGTGGCAGATGCTCATTGGCGACGTCTAAACAAGTCAGTGGCTCTGAAGAAGAAGGATCGGAAAAAGTGAATCTAATCGTTTTGAAGTGTTGAATCTTTCAAATAGTCTAATTTTTTAAAGGACAGAGCAGAAGCCGAACAGTGAAAAAGTAGAGCAAGATGTGGGTTTATCATGTGAAGAAGAAAAGGAAGTTAGCAGCGATGATGAATCTGTCTCTGATGGCTCACTAAAACTGAGATGTGAGTAACATTGCAAGGGAATTTTTCGGAAATTTCATCAACTCGCGATTATATACACAGGTAACTGATCCAGCTCAAACATCAATATAATGCTGAGACCATAAGTTATTTTTTTAGCGTAATAATTAGATCTTAACGGGGATCAGTTTAAACTGTTTCCTTTGTAGGTGAGGAAAGCATTGTATACTTCGCTAAGCATTGAATTATCTCATCAATGGCTACATTTATCTTCATCAGATATGTTTTTGCATCCGTTTCTAAAGATTCCTCAGCCAAACATGAAATTAATCTAACTAATTATGTGCATCACCTCTTTGGCCTCTTTTATGTGATAATTTGAAAGTTTTGATATTTTTGATAGTTTTAACTTTGCCAAACATGGTTTGCTTTGTACAGGTAAAAATTAAACCGGACTTCTGTTCTAATTTCAAAATTTGGTTTAGTATCGACAGCAAAATCAAGTTGCGATTCCTCAACTGCTTCAACATCCAGTTCGGACTCCGAAGGCACAAATGTTGCTGACAGGCGAAAAGATA